TTCTAAACTAACTAATAGCAATAGAGGTGGAACAATTCTGGATTTTTCTGAAGCATTTAAGGAACAATTCATTGGCATACAGTTTTTTTTTAAAGTAGATATTTTATGTTTTATAGCAAAATTTAATTTTCGATACTTAAATTTTTTAAAAATTAATTATAATTGAACTAATAGCAATAGAGGTGGAGCAATTTTGAATTTTTCTGAAGCATTTAAGGAACAATTCATTGGCATACAGTTTTTTTTAAAGTAGATATTTTATGTTTTATAGCAAAATTTAATTTTCGATACTTAAATTTAAAAAAAAAATAATTATAAATGAACTAATAGCGGTAGAGGTGGAGCAATGTCCGATTATGCTGGATCATTTAAGGAGTAATTAATTGGCATATAGTTTACTTAAAGAAAATAATGTTCTACGCTAACTTCCTTCTGGTTACAATCATGTACACAATTAACTACACAACGAATTAGAAATAGTATGTTAAAATTCCAGTTGTTGTAAAAGCGTATATGTAGGAAGGGTAATTGAGTATAGTCCAGAGACTAATTTTGTAGTTAGGAATAATAATTAATTTGTTTACACGAATCCAAAGAATCGAGGATAAACTAGTAACGGAATACGACAAGCGCACCGTTCCACGTCAGAGCCAAGACTGCCTTAACGGCGGCCGCTCCGTCCACTTTATACAAGCAAAACGGGCGCCACCGCAGGTGCAATGGTGCAGGTGTGCGGAACACGTGTTATTTATAAGAATTCTGTCTAGCTACACCAAAGGCGCCGCCCGTGCAATGGTGCTGGTGCCGTCATATACATCGCCCCAAGAATGAATTACTGACTCGGTGGAGTCGAGTAACTAGGACGTAACTAGACTAAGTATAATCTACTAGTTAGTCTGTGGTGTGAACTGTGAAGTAAAACTATAGAGTGTAGAGTAGAAGGAGAACCAACTTATAACGTGTGAAAGTTGAAAAAGTGTCCGACTATATACTGAAATAAGAGGTTCCAAAACCTACCGCAATAGCGCTGGCGTCTGAAAAACTACGATATGAAGATAGCTGTTGTAGACGGAGTGAAGTCAACTGAATTCAAATATTTAAAAAATTTCATGACTAGAGTAGTTAGTAAAATGCCAGTATACAAAAACTCAACTATTTACGTAGTACAAAACCAAGCGGATTGGTCGGTCCTTGTTTATTTCTCCATCTTACTTTAATTAATTTTTGCACTATTTTTTAAATATATCCTATGTAACTACAGCGCCACCCTTATTGGTCGCGTTTTTAGGGACACTTTTCATATACAGAGATGGTCCTCCTTCTACTCTACACTCCATGAGCGAAACGAAACTATGGAATATATAAATTACATATACTTATTTAACAAAAAAAAACTGTACTTGTCAATGTCACTTTGCATTTTAGCGCGTTTAAAAAAACAAGGTCTATCTGCAAAGAACTTTGTTGGTAAATTTAATTTTTTTTAAAGATATAGTAACTGAAAGGGCATGTTTTGTTTTTAATATTACTGACACAGTTTTAACTTATCATTTCGTCATTTAACATATCCAAAGCACAATCTAATACTTTAAATTATCTATCTGCTTAGACGCCTTGAGATAATATTGCCAACTATCTGCTGGCTCAAGTTGCCGTCGAAATCGCCAAAGGGCTGCGCAATGTGACGCATCAACATATTGTAAAGTAGTGTATTAAAAAGGATTAAATTAAAAATCATTTAATACTGAGATAAATGAAAATATGGCTTAAAAGATAAGCATCCAAGCCAAAAAATCTTGAAAATAAATAAATGAAAACATGGCTTAAAAGACAAGCATTCAAGTCAACAATCTTTAAAAAGATAAAAAATTCCACCGAAATTAATAAAATCTCTTGTGTCATCGGAAACCGCGCAAGCAAAAATTTGAGATATTGTAAAGTATGAAATAATTGATAGATAGAAATAATTTTTAGTGTTATATGGAAACAATTGATAAACAAAATGATAAATGACTGTATAAAGTGTTGACGTTACGTTAATAAATAAATATATAAAGTTAAAAATTTGGTGAGGTTATGTTGACATCTGATTCGAGAATATATACACTGTAGTCTCACGCCTATACGTTTACATACATATTCGGAGACACTACAGTGTCTCCGGATTTCAGAGAACTGAACTGAAATAAAATATAATATTTTTTTTATATTTACGCAAACACTACCTAGTCCCCCCGTGACCACGGGTGCCGCAAAGCACCCGAAACGCGGTGAATTAAAAATTATTAAAATTAAACGCGATAAAATCCGTAGAGATTGTTTTATGAAATCAAAATAAATATAGTTATTGCTTACACTTCATCATCCGTTACAGGTTATAAAAGTCTACCGCTGAACATAAGGGCCATCCATAGTTTTACTCATAGGAGGATTTTACAATAGTTGCTACGCATAGCAGGCGGGTAGCAAACTCAGTTTTTTATTAGTGTAGACGGCCTTGGCGGCTACAAAGAAGCGAGATGGAATAAAATCCATCTCCTTCGCATTTTTTCTAATGTTGCCATGAAATAAATATTATTTTATTTTATATGACGCTTCATTTTAATAGTCGCTAGTGATTCATTTATTTGTATTTGTTAATCAATAATATAATACGTTTACTCGTAGCTATAATAAATAATAATATACTACGAAAGGAACTTCGTTCCTATCGAGTGTTCCTGTTAGTTTGTTAGTAATGTATGTAATTTAGAAAAGCCTTAAGCCCCACTACAAGCAGAGGCCACCACCCAACAGTGGGGTGTAACTTTACTACTTTTTGTGTAAAATTCATCATTGTAGCTCTTCACAAGTCCACTGCTAATAATAGGCCTCTCCCAAGGAATGCCACAAAGCACGCTCCTCAGCCACTTGTATCCATCAACTTTCTCCATGTCTTACACTTCATCTACCGGTACAAGGCTGCCATTCAAGAACCTTTCTTCTCCATCGGTCGTCGGTTTTCTAGCTACATATATGGCCAGCCCATTGCTAATATAAGATATACACATCAACAGAATAAAAAAAACAGTACATATTTAAAACATATTTTAAATGTTTAATAGCTTGACATAGGATTTCGATATATTTTTATTCCATTTAATTATTTAGTATTTACAAGCAACCCGCCCCGGTTTCGCCTGGATAAAATCTAATGATGTGGCATTATTAAGATTTAATATAATCAAAGACCTTTTATATTAACAATATTTTTTAAATAACTTTTTCGGATAAAATATAGTCTAGATCTCTCATGGCATTGCTCTCTATCTGCTCGTAAAGTTTCATTACGATCGGTTCAGCTCAAAGACAGACAGATTTTTTTTTATTTGTCTTAATGTCATTAAAATTGCCCTCTGAGCTTAATAGAAGCAATATTTATATGTATAAAAATGAGTTTCCCCAGACGGTATCATCAGGATTTATTATTTAAACTTAGTCAATTCACCCACGTTATAGAAAGGTCACACCCACGTATTTGAAAGCTCATTAAAACAACGTATTAACTTTGTTCGATTCAGAAAGAGCGACGGCCAAGTGAAGACGATCACAGAAGCGTAACCTGTGGATTTATAACTTTAGACCTCAATACATAATTGTGACTTAAAAATATATCTCATATTGAAAAAAAAAAGCTGTTGTGTGCACACTCAATATAATAGATTTCGTAAGTAGTGTGTTTGAGTGACGATTTGTTGTGAATATATTTTGCCTATGCTTGAACATTTTTATTGGCATATAAATTTTAATAAGTGATCTAGATTGTAAGTGTAGCTGTAAGCTTCCCGAATAAAACACAATAAAAATAATGTAGTCTGAAAAAAAAATGCCCAGCTGGGTTTCTTGCTTTAAAATACTTCAATACTCTGCAAGATTATAGAGCATATATTGATTTTATGACATAACTAGAGCAAAATTACTACACCAGCAACTGACTGTATAGGTTTTGTCATAGGTGGACCGAGGTTTTAGAGAAAATCTCTCAATTGCACTACAGGAAAGTTAGGTGCCCTTGCAAAAGTGCGGCAGTACTTCACGCCGAGACAGCTGTGCAATTTTGGTAGTGATTGGAGTATTGTTATCATTTTTGATACTGTGAAATGCCATCTAACAGCTTTAGAGACAGTGCAAAAGCGTGCTGAGAGACTTATTTGTATCCTCAATCTGGTAAATGCCAACCTTTTCAATTTTCAGCACAGGCGCAAACATGCCAGCCTTTCGGTTTTCTACAGGTTATATTTCTAAGAGTGTGCGCAAAAATTGCTTAACTAATATCGTTGCTCTAGCTTCCACCATCTTATCCTAATGCTCATTTAGTCTCCACTTCTATAATGTAGACATAACACGCATCGTAATGCGTACATCATTAGAGTGTAATAACTTGTCAGCATCAATCATTCCATCCAATTACAATGTTTTGAAGGCAAGAATGAATAGGCTTTTGTTCAGCTAAGACAGTACGCCGTCATCTTTTGCTATATCACAACATTAACGCAATTATTTGAAATAATTTGAATAATGAAAACCGTAACGTGTTTCGTCAGTAGATAAAACAAAAGCCTAGACTGAATTTGCTAATCAAATATTCTTACCGCCAGGCTGAGCTACTTATTAGCTAGGCATTTCTACGCTAAACAGCTAATGTTATCTGTTGAATAAGAAAAACTTAAGAGCAGTATCACATTATAATTCCTTGCTTCATTTTTCAGATATGATTATAACCATGTAGTTTCCCTACTTACTTACTTGGTAACTTCGCACATATTTTAGAGATTATTTTAAAGCGCTTTAGTGACATACTTCCGGTATAGCTGCCTTGTGTTGGCACTTTGACGTAAGCTCATTCCTTTTTCGTGCGCGGTAACTAACGCAAGCGCTTTGCAAGCAACATAACATAAAGAAGCGCACAGTCGAAACTTGAACACTATGCCCTAAAAATACGTAAAATCAAGGAAAAAGAAATGCAAAGACGAAGAATAAAGCCTTTACACCTATCATCGTCGGAAGAGGAAGGTAAGGGAAATACTACCCTTAATTAGTGATCAAAACGTGGACAGTGTTATCAGCTTCGTAAGTTCCCTGGGATTGACTGCGAGTCAATAACTTTGACATTTTTCGAAACTAAGTTATAAAATGGGTGTTCTAAGACCTAACTAATTTACTTTAATTGCATTGGGTTGACTGCAAGTCTTCAACGATGACAAACATGCACAAAATTACGTACAATCTAAAACAAATGAAACATTTGTGCAAATATTTTCAATTTTATTTTCACGTTACCCTCAATCGGTTATCTTCACAATCTAAATTGCAAATTGTAATTTTAGGTACCGAAGATCTTGACGTGACCTTGGGCAACGACAACGAATCCATTGTGGAACCAATATCCGTGCCACCTGTTATTTCGCACAATGTGGATCCAGTGCCCGATGATAATCAACGTGACGGCCATACGGAAGCCTGTCCTCAAGAGGAAACCAATAGTTCCGCAGAACCCGAGCTAGATCCTGATCTACTATCAGCCATCGGTGAATCCACGTCGGACTCACCTGATTATGGCGATGATATTCACGGTAATTTATCACAATTGTGGCTTCCTTTGCTTAAGAAAGGAATACCTATACCTAGTAAAGACATCCTAATGAAAGATTACCCTATACCAGAGAATTGTAGACTTTTGCAAGCACCGATATTGTATGCAGAAATGTCGGCGGCAGTACCAGAAATGGTTCGCAACCGGGACAAGACACTTACTGCATCTCAACAGCAGCTCGGTACGGGCAACACTGCCATCAACAGAGGCATGGACCTGCTGCTGAAGAGTGATAACAAGGTTCTAGCCATGAAACACTTGAGCAATGGTTGCCGCCTACTTTGTGATTCACACTACTTGACAACGCAGGCACGAGTAAAATTAATCACTCCTAGTTTGGACAAGGCCTTCTTAAATATTGTTAAAGAGTCCGAACGGGACAAGTCACTATTTAGTTCGTCCTTGTCTGAGAAAATTAAAGCCGCCAAAGTCATTGAGAAGCAAGGCCTTTCCATTGAAAAGCCTGCAAAAACTGCAAAGCCACCTCAATAGCCCAGCGCCCGTTCGTCCTACCAGGGAAACTGGAGCCAGCCCCCTCGGTATCTGGCGAATAAGGGGGGGGGGGTGCTAACAGGAGGCCGACGACGGCAGGGATTCACCGCCCGTACACTTCACCGCGCCGCCACAACGTGCCGCGGCGCACGACAAACCTCGGGCGCCCGCGCAGTCTCACCGTTGACGCAAATACATGTGGGTAAACTTACCCACTTTTATGAGCGATGGTGTAAAATAACAAACAACAATGTAATTCTTGATTGGTTAAAAAACGGCTATCTAATACCTTTTAACAGTGGCAGAGCCACGCGGCAGCTTTTACTGTCGCACGGATGGGCCGGCTCGAACCGGGGCGGTACCACGACCTCACAGAAAACGAGCGTGAAGTAGAGGTTTATCTCTGCGTTTCGCTTGGTGAGTGCAGGTGGCCGGAGGCCCTTTTTACTGGAAATGAGGCATTCCTTCTTAGTCCTCACGGGTGACAACGTATCTACATTTTGATTTGTAATAGAGGATAGATGTAGATGCCTATGGGCCGCAGCAACCACTTACCATCAGGTGGATTGTGTGCTCGTTTGTAACCCCTATCCTATAAAAAATAATGTGAGTCAATCAATAACCCTTAAAAATAATCTATCATATTGTACACGCCCCTAGTTGCCCCAACAAAGTTTGACTGGACTAGGGCCCATCAGTAATCCAATCGACGGGCAACAGGGGACGGGGCCCAACGGCCTATGGAGACTTATTATTCTACACAATAGATATAAGGCTAGGTAAATAAATAGTTCATACCTGATTCCGAAGCTAAGACTGCCCCAAGCCTCGGTCAGGCGGTAGGTAGGTGTAGGTGCATGTAAGTGGTGTGTAGTAGTGTTTATATATGTGACCTGACAGCCCGATTTAATCGGACAGAAAATCCAACGGAGCTAATGTTCTCCCAATGCGCGCTCCCTCCAGTCGTGGATCACCCATGGAAAATTTCTGCCTTCATTTCACTATTTCAGTTTATCAACTTTATTGTACACTATTTCAACCCATCAACTTTGTTGTACATTTAATTAACTTCAAAGTCAACCAATTCAACGTTCATCGAAATCAAACACGTGACACCTGACACTAGTAACGGACAGTCGTTCAAAGTTTAATATTCAAGGTTGCGGGTTCATTTAGCACCAAATTACAAACAGGGAACGATCTCTTCTCGAATCATAAGTTCAGCGTTCCAAACGACAAACTAAATGCCTTCGTACGATATTAAATACTACGCCCGCAAAAAGAACTCAAAATCAGCCTAGCTGACACGCAAATTAATTAAATAGTCAACACACAAAAGGCACTTAACGCGACGGTACAATGAAACATTAACTTCCAAAAACAATTAACCGGGCCACGCCCTCGAAATGGAATGCGAGCATCAAATTCCAGACCGTATGTCCACTCGGCGCAAAAACCTGGCCGCGCGAAACAGATGCAGCGGTCACAAAATACGCTAATCGACAGCACCGCTGCTGTCAAGCTACTAATCAGCCCACCGGCCGAAATAACGGGGAGCCGGCACACGCCCCCCCCCCACGGCGTTTACCTCACCTCGACACCATCGGGTGATACATTCAAAGAGTCAAACGCGATTGAATGACGTTTCAAATGCCCATGTTTGGGCCTAAACAAACCCCCGTCGCGGACTTATGTCCGCGAGTAAATTGGCAAACGGGATAGGGTCGCGACGGCACGTTACAAAACCTCGGCCACCTTAGGCACTCCATTAGATCTTGCAATCTTAACCACCGCCTCAAAAATTACCGCCCCAATATGGGCAAGCAGGAGGGTCGAACCTCCTCTGGGTGCCCTTCCTGGGCATTGCAGCACCTAAATAAGTCCTGTTGCGGACAGAAATTCGACGACCTCTTTCAAATATCTATACGTTCCCCTTATAATTTGTTACGCAGTCAGACCGGATCAGGTCCGCAAACCGCTACGCGATACGAAGCAGCCCAGTGTGGCCACAAAGGCTTCGGTGCTAAGGAAACTTACAAGTTCCAAGTGAACGGCCTCAGTGGCGAGGCCCACGAAAACGCACAGATAGGCCTTAGTATGATTTTTCACGCAAGTAGGCATAACCAAGTCATCTACCATATAATCATTTACTCAATTGTGCGGCAGCTGATTTCAATCTGATAATCTCCCAACTAGCTAGCCTTTTAGACATGTAGTCCTATGCGTATATATATCAACCAAGTTTCAAAAGTAACAATACTCAAACCACTGAATTAATTCAAACAAATTTATTTACCGATGCGCATAGATCAAACAGACGAATTAAACAAAACGATACATAAGAGACAGCCCTATTTCTCTTTCCAAATAAATATCTTCGACAGTGCCAACAAAAATGTGAAAACAAACAGAGGATTGATTCTTATTCCGTTCGGCACAAATAGTGTTATTCTATTTCAATTTTCTTTTCAACAAAGGAAACACAATGATCAAATACATTTACAAAAACATATGCACACGCATTCAAAGAGCACATCAAATTCGACCTCTTACTCACAACCGCCACAACTATGAAACATTTTAGCGGAAAACCCAAAGCATTTTTATTTTTAATTTAAAGCATTATTAATTAAGTGCTCGACCAAAACCAAATCTAATACTCTTTGACAGCGTAATTCAACGCTCCAGGGGAGTCCTAGTCTTCCCAACAACCAAGTGGAGGCCACACCGTGTTGTGAACCCGAGTCCAATAGCGTCTAGCTGACCGCTGAGAGCCCCGAGAGGAAGCGCTGTTCGCACTCAGGCACAAAACGGCATGGTGATTGCTCTGGCAGTGCGATGGCATCACTTCTAAATACAAATTACTACGCGGCACAAATACAAATCAAATTAACAAATAACAAATAAAATTTCTATCAAATCAAGTTGAATGCAAATTATTATTTATTAAATTAAATACAAATTACGCTACAAATACAAGTACACTACAGTCGGTCAGCAAAGATGCCTCGCTCTGGCGACCGAACCTTCGGCAATTAATCTACTATAATTATACGATGACGATAATTATACTGATGACAAAGGTTGACTGGACTAGGACCCATCAGTAATCCAATCCACGGGCAACAGGGGACGGGGCCCAACGGCCTATGGAGACTTATTATTCTACACAATAGATATAAGGCTAGGTAAATAAATAGTACGTACCTGGTTCCGAAGCTAAGACTGCCCCAAGGCTCGATCAGGCGGTAGGTAGGTGGGTGCATGTAAGGTGTGTAGTAGTGTTTATATATGTGACCTGACGGCCCGATTTAATCGGACAGAAAATCCACCGGAGCTGATGTTCTCCCAATGCGCGCTCCCTCCAGTCGTGATATAAGGAAGAACAGTCTTTCACAGTTCAATATTCAAGGTTCCGGGTTCATTTAGCACCAAATTACAAACAGGGAACGAAGGCGATCTCTTCTCGAGTCACAAGTTCAGCGTTTCAAACAACAAACTAAATTCCTTCGTACGATATTAAATACTACGCCCGCAATAAGAACTCAAAATCAGCTTAGCTGACACGCAAACTAACTACATAGTCAACACACAAAAGGCACCTAACGCGACGGTACAATTAAACATTAACTTCCAAAAACAATTAACGGGGCCACGCCCTGCAAATGGAATGCGAGCATCAAATTCCAGCCCGTATGTCCACTTGGCGTGCGCGCAAGGTTCCACGTAACACAAGCAAGTTAAATACTGCAAAATAAATTTCAAAATGCAATTACTATACAATTGACGTAATTACTTGCAAACGAAATTACTTTAATCAGTCAAAGTAAATACAAGCCTCTTGTCACGAAACGTACAACTTAGACAAACTAATTCAAGGCGGTCTACACGAAACCCAAATTCAATAGTAAATTAAACGCGCACAAATACTCAAATTTTTGACCACAAAACCAAAAACCTGGCCGCGCGAAACCGATGCAGTGGTCACAAAATACGGTAATTGACAGCACCGCTGCTATCAAGCTACTGATCAGCCCAAAGGCCGGAATAACGGGGAGCCGGCACACGGCGTTTACCTCACCTCGACACCATCGGGTGATGCACTGAGTCAAACACGATTGGGTGACGTTTCAAATGCCCATGTTTGTGCCTTAACACATATACTGAAAAATCAGATATGATAAAAGCTATTAATAAACTAAAATTATTAGGTGCTATCTCAGAGTGTAATACGACTAAAGATCAATTTATATCTAAAATATTCCTCACGCTGACGCCCAACGGCCATAAAAGCTTTATATTAGGTTCAGTTTGTAACAACGCTCAAGTATATGGTAAATGGAAGTCATCAGAAAAAGAATTCCACATCAATTACTTAGAACTGCAGGCAGCCTTTTTGGGTTTGAAGTCATTTACTAGCGAGTTAACCAACTGTGCAATATTACTACACAATACAATACCACTACGATTAGTTATATAAATCGTATGGGGGGTATTCAATGCACCCACTTAAACGACTTGGCGAGGTCCCTTTGGAAATGGTGTGAGCAGCGCAACCTCTGGGTATATGCATCATATATCAATACCAAAGAAAATCGTGCTGATGCTGCTTCTAGAATAGTTAATCCGGATACTGTGTGGTCCCTTTCTAATGAAGCTTTCCAAAGCATAATAAACTATTTCGGTCAACCTGAGATAGACCTATTTGCGTCTAGATATAATACTAAGTGTGCCAAATTCATGCCATGGAAACAAGACCCTGACGCAGTATCCGTCGACGCATTTACAGCAGACTAAAATAACTACTACTTCTACGCATTTCCACCTTTTTCCCTGATACTAAAATGCCTTAGAAAAATAATGGATGATAATGCACACGGCATTTTAGTTTATCCTAACTGGCCATCACAACCATGGTTTCCATTATTGCAAAACCTTATAGTTTCCGATGCCATTTATTTAAGCCCCAATAAAAATCTCTTGCAATCTAATTTCAGGGA